TCGTGCTTGGAACTGCAAAACGCTTTTACTTTTTCTGGTTTAATACTGGTGCTCTGAACTGCCGATGCATTCACCAGATTTATGCCTGTGGGGCTGTGCTGGGTGTGTGTGAGARGCAAGGGGGTGTTTGCACCAGTGAACCTTTCTCTGGTGCGTGTTCTTTTAGAAATTATCAATTATTAGTTATTTTTAGGGATCACGAAAATGAAGTTGTAAAGAGCTGGTGAGCTGAGACCTTTAGCTCAGTGTTGAATGGCTCACTCATCTTGCCCTTTCCTTCCTCCTCCTCCAAGCTGCTTTTCTTGTGGATCTGCTTCACTCTGAAATGCAGCTCCTGAAGGAGGAAGATCAATTCTTCACTCCATGCCTGCAGGTATGCCATTCATGGAGGCTGTGACCTTCATCTGAGGATCCTAGCTGCAACAGAACAAGATTACAGAATTAGCACAATACAGTAATTCAAGGTGGAAGCATTAGAGCTGATTCAATGGTTGCAACTGCTCTAATTCCTGCCTCTAAACAGGTGGTTTTATGTAAAAATAGCTTTAAAAAGCATTGTAAGCTGAGCCTTGTTTAAGGTGTTACTGAACCTGTTCCAGAATCTCTGAACCTTTTTATTTTCTTTCCGAAGCTGTAACTGGAAGTGCTAAAAGTCAGCTTTGTCAATCTGTATGGAGTTGCTATTGTCCCTGATCCTTTTTTCGTGGTTAAACTTGGATCTCAGGTTTTTTATTGCSTTACATGGTATGCAGTGATCTTTTCAGCAGAGAAACAAAAAATTGGAAAAGGAAGGAAACAACWGTTTTGTTTGATGAGTTTAATGTTTCCTGTTAAAAGAGAGAAGTGTTKCAGGAATCACAGGAAAAACTTATGGGTAACTATGCCAGGTTTTTTTACCTATGCCAGGTTTTTTAGAAGGAGATGTTTTATCCCCTCCTTTAAAGGTGCTAGGAACTGAAACACTTTCCTGTAGCTATTCAAATGTGCAGATGATCTAAGTGTAGATAAAGCTCAGAAGTTTGGCTTTGGAGCCCTTTTCCAGCTAAGGCTGAGACAGGCCAGCAAGGACATTTTAGAGATTTTGCAGCAGTTCTATCAGTGTCCTGACATTCTATTATTATTTTCAATCACTTATTTTTATTTTGATTTGTCAAAAGTTTAATTTTGTCTGAGAACCTTGGCTGAACTTGATTTACAGCTGCCTGTAATTGTGTTGCAAATAAGAAAAAATGATAGTAAAATAATCACAGCCATAATCTGATCTAGCTTTTGCCATAGTTTTTCATATAAATCTCCTTAGTACTTTTCCCRTTGTGACAGGGTTTATGATGAAAAATAGAAGATCTATTTTCTTCCTAGAAAATTATGCATCYTGTGGAGTAATTAATCTGGTTAAGGGACCAAAGCTGGTTCGTTCTGCTCTCCTTTTTCCCAACAATTTCTGTCTTACACAGAAATCTCTGCAGTGAGAGCAATAAATTTGAAATGAATGACAGACACTAATTATTTGTGACCTCATTGTCATCTGCAGYGTTGAGCGGGCTATGACCATTCCCCAGTCTATGAGCTGCCGATATTTTTAGTCTATAAAATTTAAAGAAAAGACAGCTTTAAAAATAGCAGCTCACTGGGCATCCCCTTTGTGCACATCCCCATTTCAGAGCTGGCCCCATGATCTCAGTCCTTGGCTCTGGCTGTCAGCAAAGCTGCTGTGCCTTGTTTGCCCTCACTGGCATCATGGGCCGTGGAAAAATGGGTGAAATGGGTGAAATGGGTGAAATGGGTGAAATGGGTGTGAGTTAGGGCTGCAGGTGAGTCACCCAAAGATGGGAGGAGCTGGAAATCTGCAGTGAACTTCAAAACAAGAAGAAAACAGAAAAACGCTCTCTGAGGAGGGTCTGGAGGATGTGCTGGAAGGTTCATGTTCACCTCTGCTTCAGCCAGACTGGGGATGCTCTGTCCCATCCCCTCTCCTGACCCCATCCCTTAACCCCARCCTGGTTTTGGGAAGATGCTGCTGAGCTGTCACTCCTTTTCTGTTTTGTGAGAAGGCTGAACAATGCAGTAACTGCAGATTTGGGGTTAGCAAATCATCATCGTGATGGGAAAAAAACTCTTTGCTGAGGAGACGTTTGCTGAAGCAACAGCAAATCAACTTTGAGATGAAAATGCAATGCAAATATGTAAGACATGGTTATATTGGGTCTAGCTAACCAACCATGCACTGAAGAGCATTAAAGAGTAATTGCTGCATCCAACTAGAGCTATTCTAGAAGAAGGAAGCAAAGTGATATAATTTATTTAATTGCTGCTGTATACTGGTCAGTGTTACTGCATTGCTGGGATAATTGTCAGTCAGATTAAGCAATAATTTGGGCAGGGAATGGAGAAAAAACCTCACAGCAATATGCTCAGAGAGCAAGTCAGACATGTGATGGCTCCTTCCCAGAGCAAGATCAGATTAGCAGCATGAAGAGCTAGAATATCAGATTTAGGAAAAAAGGTATATGAAATAATTGGCATTATGCAKGGCTTGGCAGGCTGTCTAACTGATTCTCCCAGAAGTAGAATAGCCAAGTGCTTGGTGCTTCCTGGGGGTTGGAAGTTTCATTCTCACATTACTTGTGCTGTAAAACCTCAAGTGTTTTGTTCCATAAACKGCAAGAGCAGATAGCTTGAAGAGTAAAATTTTCAACTACTGGAATTAAATTGTTGCTTAAAGTCAAATGAGCACCCCACATCTTGGAGACCCTTTCATTAAAGCAGGTCAGTTAATTTTAATGAAGTCATCTTCAATTTGCTTTGATGTTTTATCAGAACCCAGCCCAGATGCTTCCAAATGATCATCAAATGAATTTCCACATTATGGTTTTTCAAGGACATAGACTTTGTCAAGTTTTTTGGTTTTATTTTTTACTTTTAAAGTGCCTAACTTTCCTTTTTTTTGAGGGCACTGCTGACTTTTCTTTGAAACTGAGCYCCCTTTAAGATTCCCTACATTGGGCATGTAAAGCAGAGTCTTACAACAACACTGCTGTTGGTGTTTGTTAAGTCTAAGACTGTACCATGCAGGAAATTGGGCTGCTGTGGTTTTCCTTTTGGGTGGSAAGAGATGTAGAATCTCAAACATGTAATTTCTGTAATTACTCAAGCAAGGAATAATTGTCAGGCCAGGCATGGAGGGGTCTTCTGTTCTAATTTTTGCAAAGTCAAAGTGCCAAGTAGCCTCTCATCCTAAATTGGAACAAAAAGGACAAATGTTACAATTTTCTTCAGAATGAAGCTCGCTAAAGTATTTTCAGAAATATTGAACATGGATTGAAGTGCTTCACTTAATAAGCTCAAAGAATTTCYGTGATGAGTTTTAGTCATGTTTCAGTAGTGATGAGGAGCGTGATGAAGGCATCAGAGACACAAACATGAGCAAGGTCCTGACTCGGGATCACTTCTTGCAGTATTTATAGACAGTGTCTGCAATTCAGCAGCAGAATTCCTGAGCACTGCAGCCAATCAGCCCTTTTATGTTAATTTGTGACTGCTTGTGTAGTTGCACTTTACCTTAAGCACGGGATTTTGTCATAAACACTGCAGGAGAAAATGCAAATCTTCACTCTTTCCAGACCAGTAATGAACCTCTGTCTCTCTGTTCTGTCCTGTCATTAAGCAGAGATGGTGCTGGAGCTGTAACAAGTAAGAATATTGTTAGAAGAGGTGCAAGAGAATTCTTTCACAAGGGACTGAACTGTCCCCCTTAATGTGGCTCAGGGAAGTGTTTGTACCGCCATGTGTGTTTGTTGCTGGCAAATGCTGACAGTTTCTTTCTTTCTTTTTAATCATTTATTTGAAATAATGACATTTTCCTCTTGAAAAAGTCTTTATTTGGAAGAGTGTTGAGCGGGTCAAACTCTAATTGCTTTGCTTAGTGTCATAAATGATTTTGGGGATATTCACACATCCCTGTATGGTATTCCCAGGATTATTATAAATAGCTTTGTAACTTATAATGACTTGTTGATAATGAGCCTTTTGGAAAGGAAAGCTTTGACATTAAACACAKGATATTTGAGGAGCTTATTTATGAGAATTCAGCCCCAAATTAAATGCCTGTTGCCATGGAAGAGGTTCTTGGCGATGTGATCATATGGSCATTTTCAATGTTGGTTTAGTTTTGCTTTGCATTTATTTTTGAGTTGACCAGAGAATAAAACCTGTAAATTCACTGTTGACTGGCCAATTTCTCAGCATTTACCAGGTGTCCAAACTTTCTGCTGCTATGAGCTGTACAGAGCTGAGTATGTCACATATTTCATTTGTCAGATGTGAAGTAAAGAGGAAATCTGGAGTGATTCCCAGGTGAGAGACAGTGTCAGCTCCCTTAAAATAGTTTTAGCACATCTTTGTGAGAACAGACTGGGCAGGGTGTGGAGTTGAGTCCAAATCTGTTGACTCACACAGAGAAATCAGATTTACTCTGTATTTCCTGCCCAGCAGAATCTGTTGACCAATCCATATCTCTGTCCCCAACATGGGACAAACCTTGACAGAGCTTGCACAGGTCTTGGAGTCACAGGGCAGACACCAGAACTGACATTATTGGGGAGTTAAACTGGCACATCCACATGTGGATGTGGAAATTCAACATCTCTCCCTTAAAATGAGTGAAGCTGTAATGGGCTACACTGGGAAACCCTCCTGTTCTTATGGGGAAAATTTTTTCTTAATTATCTTAGCAATAATTAGGCATTTCGGAAAAAGAAGAAATCGTGGAAGCTGCTAATTGATTCTTTATAGTTTGCTCATTATGCACAGATACTACAAGATGTGTTGATTTGGACTCTGGCTGSAAWAGCTGAGGATAATTTCTACAGGGCYATGAGMGCTGAGCTTCCTGGGAGTTCAGATCTCATTTATCTGAAAACATTCTGTGGTCCCAGAAGAGGTTCTATCCACATCTTTTCTACTAATAATTTGATTTTTATTTTTGTATCTGTTTCATGTAGGTCTGGCAAAGCCCATGGGATTAGTTGAAGGTCCAGGAGGCCTGGGCCAGGGGGGAATGGCTGCTACCCTGAGAGACGACAGCCACGAATCAGAGACTAAATATGAAGAATATGGTTACAACGCCCAACTCAGTGACAGGATATCACTGGACAGGTCCATCCCTGACTACAGACCAAAAAAGTAAGTTGAATTCTGYATTATTATTATTGGGAGTAAGGGGTTGATTATTGTTCTGTTGACCCATCCTTCTCCTCATCCCTTCCTGGCTGGAATGTGAAGCAGTGACTGGCACAGACACCCCTGAACTGAGTGAAAATTCATAGACCAACTGCCATCTCAGGCATGGAGTGCCATATTAATGCATAACTGATTCTGTCAATAGTGCAATAATATGCACATTCAAGGCCTCAGATCAAAAACTGTATCTGAATTTCAGTTCTTACTGGGTTTGGTTCATTTAGAAAAAGCCTTCAGAGGTGGCAGCTTTAGTCTGAGATTCTTGTAGTCACGTGCAGTGGGAGTGGGGCAGTGCAACAAACACTTTATAGGCACTGGTCTCCTAAAAATAACCCAAATTTATCAAAGCAACTGTCTTTAATTGCATTTGATATTCTTAGAATTGTTTAGTCAGGGCTTGCAGTGTGCTGAAACACGGGCTAAATGCAATCCATCGGGGTCCTGTAATTGCAGTGAGATTTTTTTTGTCTTTGGAATGCGTGTCTATTTTTATTCCGGTGTTTATAGTCTTCACACGCCTGTGCTATGCTTGACATTGCAATTACATGTTTATTATTTGCACTGATTTATTATATTTTGTATTAAATAACTTTCATATCTTTCATATTTATGGAGTTATATATTTTCCAGATGAGACATCCGCACTGTCATGCCATGAATGACAATCAGTAATGTCTTAATGCAGAGGAGATCAGMAACAATGCCTAGTTGCTCTCAGGAGACAGAATTGAAAAGAATACTTAATTAATTTCTAATAATAATCTTCTGTTTTAAAAGACCCACTGGGGCTCCTAGGCAGAACTGAAAGTTAAATAAAAAAGTATCTTATTAAGCAGTGAGAAAAGTTTAGCCAAGCAAAACAGCTGTGCTCTGTGAGTAGATTGCAATTGAATTAGGATTTTAGGCAGTTCAAGCTGCCAAAAACAAAACTTCAGCTTAACTACAAATTTCATTAGCTGTGTTACATATTAATCTGATCTCAGAAGGATTGACTCAGCGCTTGTTTTCTCAAACCCTTGCTACAGAAAAGAAAACCCAGGTAATAGGAGTGGTAAAATAGAAAACAATTTATGGCCTTGATACCACATTTGATGCAAATACACTGACTTTTTCAGTGGTCTCATCTCTCCTTCTCTCTTGATGTGTCATAGAAATCCCCATGGGATTATGTTGGGGATAAAGAACTCTGTAGTTATGCAAATATTGGAGCTGTGCATCAGATCTGGCCCAGAGACCCCTAAAGTGAAAGTGAAGTTTCCCAGATGAAGGTTGGTGAGGTCTGACCTGGCTGTTCCTCGCTGCTGTGGCCGGGGGATGAGGATAAATGAGGTGTGTTCTGCTGGGAAATGCAGGAGCAGAGGCTGCAGAGCTTGAATCCAGCTCAGCAGCTCTCAGGAGCATGAACATKTGCAATGTTTCACATCAGATCATGCTCTCCCCACGCTTTCAGAAGCTCTGAGGAGTCATTCAGATGGGTTTCTTGATGTTCTCATGGTGGGTATCTCATCATGAAATGTCTGGGGTGCTTGGGGAGCTACCTTCCTTGTCATGTTTTGACACCTCTGAGGTGGTTCTGGTTAGATCTAGATGCTGCAATTGATGCACTTCTCTCTTGATGCTTATGAGTCACAGGAAAGCCCTTCAGACTGAATTTGCTTTGGAAAATGAGTGAAAGTGTGGAGAAGGTAGAAACTCTTGGTGTAAGAAGACTTTTACCCACTTGGRTGGYTTGAGAGCAGCCCTGAGGARAAGAACACSCTTGTCCAAYTTGTCTGTGCTGACTTTCCCAGTGGYCTGACCTCTCCATTGCTGAGCCCTTCCTGGTTTGCTTGTGATTTATGTTCGTGTCATTCCCAGAACTGTTCATTTTTAAAAAGGGAGGGATTTTCATTTGTAAATTGAGAAGCAAGGTAGAATCAATGTCCAAGGCCATGGCCAAAGTGAATAAAAACACCTATCTGAATTTGCATTACCAAAGTATTAAACTCTACTTTCTCTCCATTCTGGTTTCCGTTTAAAATATTCGATCTATGTATTTGCACACATCAGTAGGTATTAAAGATATGAACTGGGAGAAATTATATTCMAAATCTGCATTGCATAAGCACAATTTATGAAAGTAAACATGATTTCAGTATGCAAACTTGGGACTTGTAATGTTCCAAGCTTGATCAGAAATATTGTATTTTAGTTCATTTGAACTCCYCTCTTACTGTTGTTCAYMATTTTATTCTGATAGAATAAGCCTKCTGTTCCATCTACAAGCATAAGTTCATAAACATTTGGCAGTTTAATTGCTTTTCAGACGGTATTTTCACCCCTATGCAGCAAATTAAAAAYCATGTTGCACTACAGAGGTGCACAGTCAGCCAGTGTGACCTTGAAGGCTCCAGAATTGGAGTCACCTCCCYGTCCTTCCACTGCAGCAGAGTCTCAGGGCTCATCTCCTGCCCTCGAGATGCTTTTCTCACATTTTGCTCTGCTTTCCTACCTGCTGCTGCCACTGCAGATATTCCTTTTAGCTCAGAAGCTTTTTCTTTAGGATATGAATTTCTGTCTCTTTCTGTCTCATTTTCTCCTGTACAGGAGATAAGAGCAATTCTGTGCTGTGCTGTGTTTGTGTGCCAAATAGAAGCAATGGCAGTAAACAGCTTTCTTCTGATTACAAATCACACAATAATTACAAAATTATAGTTTAATCCWAGTGTGGTATAATAAATATATCTCAGCTTTTTCTTCTCAATATCAGAGATTTTTAAATATTCATCAGAGATGTATAAATAATATAATATTTGTCATTTTTCAACGAATATATCACTTTAGAAAATACATCGCAGAGAGCTCAGAGTGTTTGAAGTCCTGATCTCTCTTYCCAGCAGTAAAGTATTAGCAGGACTTCTAGCCCTCACTAACACATCTTATTTCCTCTGTGCAATGGAAGAAAGAAGCTTTTCTTGTAAGGAACAGGTTATTTTTGCTTTGGAAGCACACAGCTAAGCTAGAGCTTGCTCTGTAATTCTCCAGGAAAAGTGTTATTTGATGGCGAAGTGTTATTGGATTAATTTCCATATGTGTTCTTCCATATTTAAAATGAGAGTCATGATCAAAAAAACCTGAGCACTTAGTGAAAATAATCCACTGATGCCAGTGAACCTGGAGTGTGGGAAAGCTTGAGAATGTGAATTCATGTCAGCAATCCCTCCCAAAATGTGTAGATGTGCCATAGTCCTGAATCCAGCCTTTGGGAATGCTGTGAATTGTGCTGGGCTCTGTCCATGCCTTTCTTAAACAATGCCAAAGGGAAAATGTTTGATTGAATATCAAAACCAGACCTGGAGCATCAAAGCTGAGATTTTGGTGGAGATTCTGCACATCCCAAAGTCAGCCACCCAAACCCCTGCAGGCAGAGGAGAGCAGGTTTCCTTGTGTGGCTTCACCAGGCTGGCAGAATTCACCCTCCTGCCCTTTTGGGGGAATAGCAGCCTCCACTGCTGCCAGCTCCAGCACAAAATATCAGCCTCTGCTCCAGYAACAAAGGATCAGACTCAATCCTTCCCAGTCATGCATGAAGGCAGAGGTGCTAAAGCCCCATATGACAGCAGCTTTCGACTTTATCATAAATAAAGAAAGTAGAAAAAGTCCAAAACCTTAGGGAGTGTCATTCAAAGGCAGGGGGGAAAGGCCCCCCAAATTTACAAAAGCTGTTTGTTTTACTGTGTAGCATCCTGGAAAATTGGGAAGTGTCAACTAAYCAGATGCTTTCAAACATCAGCTCTGTCTCTCAGGATAACATGAATTCCCCTGTCCTTTTTGATGCCTTGCTGGATAGCGAAGGGTTGAATTGAACAGGTGCAGCACCTGAAAATCCAGCATTTTCTATCTTTCCATCACTCRAGTTTGCAACTTAAATAACTTCAGGGGTTTCTTTACATGCAGGACACATCCACACACACAGAGACACACACACAGGCACTTGTCAAAACCACTTGCTGTGATGCATTATGCATACTTTTGAGAAAAGTTAATATGATCCTGGAGCTTCCATAATGGCTAAATTGGCTTTTACACAAAATTGTCGCTGCTCGGTGAGGATCTTTAATTTAGCTGATCTTTTTTTTGTGCAACTGGATGCTGAGTGCATTGTGGCAGTTCAGTGATAACAATAATATTAATATATGGATTCACTCTGCTGGCTCTATCAGCCAAAGAAGATATTTCTTTGTGTTACGGTCATGGATGTTTGTATTGAGAAAATTCAGCCCCAAAGAACAAACTTATTAATGCCGTGGCAACTCAAGTCTTTAGCCATAAAATGCAGAGAAATCTGGGTCTCGAGGAAATTGCTTTCATTTATTCAGTTCTTTTATGGAGGCGAGCATTTTTGTGGTTTTTCTATAGACATTTCACAATAGCAAAAGAATTGCATCTCTAGGGCTGCGAAGTGTAATTAATGGTTCAATCCGCTCCATACCTAAGGAAAAGCTTTTTTAATTACCTATCAGAAAGAATTCTGGAATTGATCAAATAGTGCTATCAAGGGGGTAAATAGACCTCTGATTTGTTCATTCCAAGGTTTAATAACAGCAGCTGGAGCGAGGAGAGAACTGGAGCAAAGCCTTTCTGTCCGAGATGGTCCTTAGTGACCAGCGAGCTCCGGCCGCAGGAGAACCACCACGATCACCTTTCATTCTGACCTTTTCTTTTGCTGCTGGGTCTCTGTGGAGTGGCTGTGATATCTGAGCCATCATCCAGCACTCTCTGGAGCCACACCATCCTCGTGTTTGCAGTTGCTCTGTGCTGGAGGAGGTCACGGTGTGGCTGGATGGCCCCTGCCCGCGGCCGTGCTGGAGCAGGGCATGGAGGCAGATGGCTTTCAAASAGCATCAGCTTTTGGATCAGTGCACTGGAGAAGGCTTGGGATGAAATTATTTGATTTTCCCCAC